GAATGGAACGAAGGCTTCCGCTTTCTCATATTCTTCCACACCAGGAAACTATTACCATGCATTGAATGAACCTCTTTGTTAAAGTAATTTGCTTAAAAGGAAACTTGTAAAATTGGTAAATTGAAGTAGATTTTAAAATGGCATACGCAAACTGTAAATGTCCACCTTGTGTATATCTGGGTTTATTTGGTTTGGTTTTGGTTTGGTTTTCTTTTGCTGTTGTTGAGGTGGGGGGTTGGGGGGGGGTTGGTTTTGTTGTTGTTGTTTTTTTTTTGTTGTTGTTGTTGTTTTTGGGGTTTTTGTTGTTGTTTGTTTTTTGTGGGGGGGGGTTTTGGGGGGGTTGGTCATTGCAATGGTGTACTATTTGTATTAAATTTGCTCTTAAAATTGTGCCAATGTGTTGTTCTAAGTATTGTTGATGGTATGCAGGCTCCTAATTCATTGTTTGCTTGACTTGAGTTGTTACATCACCATTATTTTTAATATTCTGCGACTCGGTGCTCTCAATGAAAAACAAAATACTCTAGGTATTGAATAAAGGGGGGGGGGTAGTAATAAGAGGGGGGGGACAAGTTGTCCAAAATTAATCAACAGGGGGTGGGGTGGAATAAAAGGGGTGGGGGTGGCACATTCAACCACATACCCCTGTACTAGTAGGAACAAATCTGTGTTTTTTTTTCTCCTTCAATTAATAAAAGATCAAGAGATCATGAAATTTTAGTGATTTTAGTCAGATACTGTGACAATTTTTCCCATTTAGGAACAAACCAGTTTCATTTCTAAAAATATATACAAATGTACAACAGTGTTTAAGATGCACTGAAAATTGAGGTCGCCAACCCGGTACCGGTACTAATACTAAGGGTAATTTGCCATTTACAACAACAACAACAAAAAGTTTCATTCGGATATCTAGATTCTAGATGTAATGTTTCACATGATCGTCGGTCGTGACAAGCTGGAAAATAATAAGCAAGAAGGGGTATGAAATAGGAGCACAAGGGGGGGGGGTGCAAAATAAAACTGAAATTCAATAAGCTGGTGGGGGGGGGGGGAGCTTATTCGATACCTTAGAGTAAGCAAGGACTGTGTGACTTGCACCCGGGACTTCTGAAACTTTTTCGCCCTTGTCCGAGAAGGTTAGGTGTAGATCTTTCCTACTAGAAGGTCAGGGGGGTGTCTTATAGACAGCAATAAGAAAGCGCCAAGGAGTAGCAGTAAAAAGGCTGCAGAAAGAGTCAGGAGCCCAGAGGAGGGGGGCAAAAGAGGTGAAGGGTGGGGGCAGAGAGAGGAGACGCAAGCAAAACACAGAACATTGCTAGAAAGCAGGAAAGGAGGAAAGGAAAGGAGATAATTTTAGAGAAGAAAATTTGTCGGTCGTTACTCGGATTCGAACCTGGGACTTTTGAATGACAGACCAACACCTTAACCTCTAAGCCACGAGAGCCCCCCTACAAATGATCGATACTTTGCAATTGACTTTTATTTCTTATATTTTCATAAAATTTATAAAACATAAACATAATATATAATTTATGCACACGGTAACATATTATTTAAACGAATTAAACCGCAAGTTTCGTGAGGTGTTTTTTTTTTTGGGGGGGGAGGTTGGGAGGAGGTAGCAATTTTTCCAGAGGAACAAATTGATATACATGTACATGTATTATGACACAATGGATAGGCCTATTATAATTGAGGGAGGAGTTACAGTTGCTCCCAGGGCCACAATCAGCACTCTGTTCGGTTCTCGACGTTGGGTCATTGGGAAATGTAATTACACGAAAATCTCGTTTGGCTCGGTCCATTCGGAGATGGACGTTAAATTCGGTGGTACCGCCTCTTAAATAGCCTAACAGTGTTGATGGGGGCGTTAAACCTATACCATTTCACAACCAGCACAAGAGAAGAGGGAACAACTGTGATGTATGGCAACGACACGGCAGTAACAACAGGAAACATTAAATTACCGGTCAGGATCACTTTTATTTTGATGTACATGGAGGTCATCAACTCCTAGAAGCCTTGTTTCGCGAGTTCATTCAGATGGTACGTTGTGCTTTTACCAGGATTTTAAACAGGGCACGTTTGCATTTTGTAACCAGTTCCTACTAGGTTCGCTAAAATGCACAGTTAGAGAACTTTGCGCTACTCAAACTTTGGTACTGAGCGCTTCTTTTGGTGTGGCTTTCGTCTCAACTTTCTGCCCCCCCCCCCTTTTTTTTTTTTTTGGCTCCCTCCTCAGGGCCCCTGTCCTGACTCAATCTGCAGCCTTTCTAATGCTACTCTTTGGCTCCTTCTTACGCTGTCTTTCAGCCACACCCCTGTCCTTAGGGTAAGTAAGATCTAACACCGAAGAAGAAAAAAGATCATTTGTAAGGATCCGTTTTTTCCCCCGTACTATTAATGTTGAAGTAGTGGCTCGATGATACACCATACGCAGAAAGACAAATTGTGAAAAGAAGAGAAAAAAAGTCCAGTACACAACATGTCCAGCAATGAATAGAATCTACTCTGATTTGTAACAGGACATACAGCCAAGTCATAGAAATATCCAAATTAATACTCTTTAGACAAGAAATAATTCTGCACTTAAAATATGAAAGATTACATAACCTTGAAGCGTAAAGCACTTGCCCGTGTTGAAGCACTCTTTCCCATAATTTACCAAGAATTTCAAAGTTCGGAAATATGTGGGGCATGGCAACAGTCCGAGCAGACGAGCTTTGATAATATTTTAAACTTTATGGCATGCTACGGGAAATAACTACAAGATTTAGCCTTTCCTTTCTGAAACTACGATTACTACTTCCCTTTCATATGAGATCAATGTCAGTAGTTGGCTTTGCAAATGGAGGAATATCTCTTGAATTTAATATAATAGCTTACACCCCCC